GCTGGGGGGGGCGGCCTGCGGTCTGCATCGCTGCTTTTTTTTTTTTTTTTTTTGACTTTAGGGGCCAAATCTGTGTTCTGTACGGCAGCGCTCAGTGTCGGGAGGGCCGGGCTGGCACCCGTGGCTGGGTGATGTTTGGAACCGGGTTACGCCACTTCCAGCGCTGCTGGCCGGTGCACAGAAGTCCTGTAAAAAAGAAAGCTGCTTAAAGAAAAAAAAAAACCCAACCTTGCTTCAGTCTCCTTAAAAATCGACTGCCTTTAAAGGGTGTCTCAGAGCCCGACCCTCGAGAAGAAAATCAAAGTGTTAGCTGAGTGAGGGTAAACGATGTCTTCTCGTTGAACTGAGTTTCTGTGTTGAAACTTGATCTCTTTGACTTTCTGTGGGTCGTGTGGTAAAAGGATGGGGACGTGAGTTTAAGTTTGTCTCTCTCAGTTGCTTTTATGCACGGGCACCACCGGAAGGCTAATTTGAAGCCAGAACGAAACCTGTAAACAGAAGAAGAGAAATTAAATGGTAAAGCGATCTTCTTATCCGCCCGGAGAAAGAACGGATGTGTGACCTAGTTCTATCTCTGAATGACCATGGAAACAAAAGGTTTCTACTGAAATCAAAAGATTTGGGGTGGAGCGACGGCTGGAAGTGGGGCTAAACAAAAAAAAAAAAGTGTGGCTAACCTCATGTTATTAGTAGAGTATAAACTAACTTGTCTACCTGGCCCAGGAACACGTGCATCATTCCAAAATCACAGCCGTCCTCACCTCCAGAGAGGTATGCCCTTGCCGAATGAGGTTTTCTTCTTCCTGGCGTGCTACTCACCTTTGGTTGAGGCAGCAGTATATGATGGGATTGTACATCGTCGAACTCATGGCCAGCAGAAAGATGGCCAGGTAAACCTGCTGAATGTACTTCTGCTGATAGATGTCTTCCTTGAAGCTCCCCAGGATGAAGTATATGTGATAAGGCAGCCAGCAGACAGCAAAAATGACCACGACTACCACCATCGTCTTCACAAACTGGAAAACCAAGAGCAGCGCGTTACTTGTGCTTTGGCCTCTGCGCGATCGCCGGGTTGCTGGGGGAGTGGAAAACGCTGCTGCTTTTTTTTTGCGTTTGCTTTTCCCTCTGGATGCGCTGCGTGTGGTGTATAGAGCCGGGCCGCTCGGGCAAAGAAACCGGTCTTGAGGGTGGAAATTGAGGACAGGGAGGGAGTTGCAGCATGTGTTTCCCAGTGGACTACGGGAGCTTTCTGTAGAAAGCTGCTTGCAGCCGAGTCGAAGAGACTCGGTAGGGAAATACGAGAACTGCTGTTACACTGAAAGCTCTGGACAGTGGCAGAAAGGTTTTCCCTGGCTTATTCTGTGACGTGTGGATTTGCTGGATATTGCTCTTTACTTTCTAAGGGTTTCTGGGCAAACTAGTGCCCTCCCTACCCATGTGAACCTTTCTTCCCTGCAGGCTGGCTGAGTTTCTTTTTCTGTACTTGCTGGGCGATGCCCCTTACCCCTTGGTCCAAAAGATGTCGTCATCCTTTCATGCCCAATCCCACGAGATTTTGTATCTAATGCAAGCTCTGTTTTGGAGCTGGAGCCAAAGGGGCTGGCACATCGAGGGTAATTATTTTTAAATTTAACTCCTGACCTTTTTTTTGGCGTTAACTTGATGTTCGTAGCGGATTCGATCAACGTGGTTGCCTGGAACTGCGCTGCTCCACAGAGTAACTCCTATAATGCTGTATGCAACAAACATCACCATTAAAGGCAGTAAATAAATCAACACGATCACTGCAATGTGATACCTGAAAAAGAAGAACAAGCACGTTTTCACAGTCAGTATGTCACTCGAAGAGCCATTTCAGAAACTGTCTTTTGGATGCGCGCGTCTGGCTCCCGTTAACTTCAGCACAAAGCAGCAGAGATTTTGCCTAAGAGCATCATTCCAGGGGCTTCTATAAACAAGACAGACTCGTCTCTCTTGTGCCGCGATGATTAGTCCTTGCATTAGGTTCACTGCTCTTTCCAGACAGAGTATTATTTATCTTTTTTTTTTTTTTTTTTTGACCCCGGCGGGGTACATTGCATGGCCGCCTGCCCTGAGCTCTGCTATCCTGCCGCAGGATTATCCCGCCCGGCGTGGGGAAGCGACGAGCGGTCGCCTCGCTCTATCTGCGAGCGCGGCCGCAAGTCAAGGGTGCACCAGCCTCTGCCCGCGCCCGC